AAGTCACTATTGTTGTTTATATACGTTTATGAGCTGTAGGAGGAATTATGACAATGTATGCCCCACTGCGTCTTCTTCAGCCCGTTTACACTCAGTCAGGAAAAAGACATCTGCAATGACACAATCACCGACCTGCTGTCTCACGTCGTACTGAAGCTTAACCCAAGCTTAAAACTACTCAACCCTCACAATGGAGCATCATTAAGGTCTGTGTCTGCCTGGTTCACAAGATGTTTCGGTCACATGAAGATGACCAAGCTTGGAACTCCACATATAATATATTTTGAGAGTCAGGGTATGGTAAAACAAGAAAATTAAACTAACAAATTCAAGAGATTTTTTTCTTCTTAATTTATTTGAAGCTGACAATAATGCTCCCAGAAGCAGAGGAAGAAGAACAAACCACTCTGGCAGCTGTGGGACTAAAGCCCTGTCTCCAGTGTCAAGTCTCACTCTGTTTGGTTTCTATCTGTTCAGTTCTGTGTGCTGCGCAAAGAGCAGCTTACCACTGCACAGTTTGTGTAGATAAAATAACACATGCAGAAACACTTCGGTTTAAGTGTGTATCTACTGACAGAGTGACCACTGTGAGCTGATCACTGCAGCCTTGATTGGTTTAATCTAATCAGTTTTGTTATCTGTCTCCTACATTACAGCTTATGTACAGTAAATCTGCTCTCATGTCAGAATAATATCCTCCACCTGCATTCATGTTATGATGACAAGAACATTGCTTTTGTCCCTTTGACAAGTGAGATAGGCAGCACACCACACGGCTTTAATATTGTAGCTTAGATGTTGAAGAACAAAGTCCAAGTCTTGCTGATCCAGAGACATTCTCAGATTATCTTGCCATCTTAAGGGGGTTTAGATGTGATGTTGAACTACACTGGAATGTTCCCTGGATTTGAGTTGTGGGAATTAAAAATGTACCTATGGCCAGATTAGATGGCAATCTGAATTGACCGGCTCTGCCATTTAAAAACAATACTGTGTAACAAGCAGGTACACAGTCTGAAGCTTCTGGGTGATCATAATGTTTACTCTTTCGCATCTTCTCCTCAGCGAGAATGAAGCATGGCCTCTGTGACTGCAGCAAAATGCTTTCCCTGTTAACAGCACCATCTGGTCACACCGACAGCATGAGCTGTTAGGGACAACTGACAACAACTAAATGATTCTTTAATGACACAGTCACAAACAGATGGACAGGTTAGGCAGTTACTGATTGTGTGTGAGTGTGTTTTACCTAATCAGCACATCTAGTAAAATAAAAATAAAAAAAGACTTCAGCTGAGCTTCACACATCGAGCAGCTGTTGATGAGAGTACACAGGTACAGTAAACACAGCCCTTGATACTTTTAACGCACACACACGTTTGTTCTTCTATCCTCATTAGGACTTTACATTGACTTCCATTCCTTTACCAGTCATTTCTGCAGCCTAAAGGTCTCGACACGGGAGGCGACGTCGCTCGCTCTCCATTCATTTCCTATGGAGCCTGTGCGGTGAGGCGACAATCGCTTGCCCTCCTCCAGCTAAGCGACCGGCGAAAATAGTGCATGTGAAATTTCACGCTCGTACACGTAGACGTGCACACGCGAGCTTGCGATACGACATATGAAAGTTGAAAAATGTTCAACTTTTGTCTATGTCGCTTAACGTACATCCATTCAGCGAGGGTTTCATTGACTGACCAATGAGAGGAGAGCATGCTACACACTGCAGTTAGCTAACACTTTCACCAAGTGATTACTAAAAAAGGCAGCTTTGTGGGAATTTGTTGGCACCAGGGTGAAGTTTATGGTAAGTTTTTCCTCATAAAATTGTATCTTGATGTGTTTGTTTTTCAGTATCATTAGCATCGCACGATTTGTTTAGTTTACACGTCCGTAATGCACACCCCCTTATTTTTTGTGAACCACCAATAACCTTTACAAGAGGCAGTAGAAGAACCAATCAAATTTTGTGAAACAAGCAACCTGAAAGAGCGCGATTTGCAACGCTGCGATCGCTATCGCGTCCCGTGTGTCGGGTTTCACCCTGGCTGCGATGACAGCCGTTAATGGCTGTAGTTTTTTCGCTCCCCATGTGTCGAGCCTTTAACCCTGACCCCTTACACTAAACCTAACCTAAACTCCTAAACAGAACACCTTGTGGCTGCCCGATCCGTACTGGAAGCACAACCCGTACTGTCCYGGAAGCATTGTTTTTAGCATGTAGCATTTTGCTAGACAAATGACAGAATTCATTCAATTTCAGCCTTTATCACCTGCAATGTTTCATAGAAAAGGCAACGTTTGCAACAGCTGTGGATTTTTATTCCACAAAAAAAATAAAACAAAGATGAGTTATAACAGGATTGTCTAGAAAATAGTTTGCAAGTTATTATGAATAAATATGTATGCATATTTTTTTATATAGGGCTTATGTTTTATTAATCAAAATGTATACAATATTAAAACTGTTTTCAGAAAATAATTTAACACACCTTTATAATTAAAGTATAGAAATAAGTATTTTCAGTATTTTTTCCTACATTCCAGAAGTCTATCATTTACAGCATGCGCAAATGAGCTGACAGTACGGATCGTGCTACTGGGACGGATCGGGCAGCCACACCCTGACCTACCACTGGTATTGTCCCCAGTGGAAACTGGGCTTTTGGCCCCATTAGRAACAGTGGGTCCTCACCAGGTTGTATGTACCAGGAAAATGATCAAAAACCATCCGCACCAGGTAACAAAAACACAAACACACACACATACACACACCACAAATAGCCAAAACTTCAGCCCTCAATCTCTCAACTCTTGTTATTTTTAACAGCATGGCAGATTAGTGGTTAGCAACATTGCCTCACAGCAAGAAAGTCCTGGGTTCAATTCCCGGCTCAGACCTGGGGTCTTTCAGTGCAGAGTTTGCATGTTCTCTTTGTTTGCGTGGGTTTTCTCTGGGTACTCCGGTTTCCTCCCACARACCAAAAATGTTATGCTGCCTTCAGGCTCAGTCCTCCCTTAAAAAGAGATCTGTGATCTCACTGGATTTGCCTGGTTAAGTAAAGGTAAAATAAAAATAAAAAATAAAGTGATACAAGAGAGCAGGCAGTAGTAGGTCACACAGCTCTCGGTGCACTAAAGATGATTCTATCAAGTCACTCCTTTGTGGTTTTGCGGTGTGTGTGTGGTGTGTCTCTTCAACCAGATCAATACTGTGGTTTTTAAATTGCGCACGACACACAAACAGTCCTCCTGAAACAAGCACACACACGCAAAGGACAAAAATCTCCCAACACACAAAAGACCAAGACAAAAACACAGGATCCCAGGAGGTGTTTTGTGACACCTGCCAGCAGTTCACATAGGGGCCTATGAGCTGCAGATTAGAAGGATCTGTGGGGTTTAAATATCTCACTGAGCTATAAGTTGGGACTAAGTGGCAAATAGCATTGTGAGGGAGTCTCCATAATACAGCATGTTAAATGTTTGCTAATGTTTTCAGTTTCCTTGCATGAGTAGCAGGACAGGTTTGAACATGTTCAAAAACATTAGTGCAGCAAATTTTCTCTCAAACTAGTTGCCAAATTGTTGTGGGTATCTTGAACCCATCCTGAACCTATCCTAATTAAATTTTATAAGATCTAAAGCACTTAAGCTGTATTTTAACACCTGCATGGGATAATTTCTATGGCAGAAAATGAAGGTCCTGAATGTCCAGGTCTAAAAACCATGCTGATMAAAAATCAAAAATATGTTTAGAACTGGTCCAGACCTGGCTGTCTTCATTTCAAAAGTGTCCTGTACATTAAATCGTAAATATGGAGAGTGCACAAAGAAGGCTAAGGCAAGTCATGATGTACAGTAGCAGGAGGTGAGCAACAAAATAATGTTCATGGCCAAGAATATGGTGTTGCAAGTCAAGCACACAAAAAATATTTCTTAAAGCTTGAACCTCCACACTACTTMAGACATTTTGAACTGARAAAGCTTTYCTGGACAGGAAATCTTAACCTTCAGAATAGAAATCCACTTTTGTGTGCTAATCTCCCCTAGCACACAMARATAARGTAAGGTAAAGGTACTTTATTTRTCATCCAATGCATGTTCCCATACAATGACGAAATGCGTGCTCTGCATTTAACCCATCACATGTGAGAAACACCCAAGTGGAGCTGGGATTTTTCACAAATTGTGCCCACATAGATTGCAAACATTCAGAATTCAGTGAGTCTGCAACTAAGATTTGCCAACTTTGATACAAGTTAAATCTCCGACTAGTTTCCAGCAGTCACAGTCCCGTTGGCCTTTAGAAGTGGAGTTGTGTGKTATGGGAGAAACCACGGCTGTATGATATACATATTGGACTGGTTGAAGTCGGTGCCATGCATTAAAGAAAAAGATAACCAGCAGAATATTGGTGAGTAATTTCTCTCTTAATGACATGACTGCTGGTGTATTTATTCTGATGTTGTAACCACATACATGTCAAATTGTACAGATTGTCTGTAAGTTATAAGGATTTTACATCATTTTGCAGGTATAYGGACGTATAGAGCAATCTCATGGATTTTTTTCAAGTCTTACGGATTTTTTCAAAACGTCATCATCATCAAATTTATCTAACATGCCAGAGCCTGTAAGATGATTTAGAAAATAATAAATAACATCAAACAGCCATCTTCCAACCTGTTCTGCCGCTAGAAATAAGTTTTGAACTTTTTCCGCTCTCCTCTCCTCCTGCTTCGCAGCAGGCGCTTTCATGTCCGCAGCCGACAGACACCCCCCGGGTGCGAGTTGTATGGATTTTTTGCAGAATTTACAGATTTTTGAGGCTCTTTATACAGGTAAACGTCTGAAGAGGTTGACATGTTGTGACCACTATTAAAATAAGCACAAACCTAGATTTGAATTAAACTGTAAGAAAGTCATTTTTCAGGTTGAAAAAAAAACAAACAAAAACAAATCATTACCCCCTCCAAAAAGAAGGTTTTCCTGCTCACCTTGTTTTTCTCAAACAGTTCGCACTGGATGGCCTTGAGGTCTGTGTCAAGAGCAGAAGCAGCCTGCCGGCGTTTCTTGGACATCTGCTCCTCCAGGTCTTCCACCTGAGCTCTCAGCTTTTTGTTGTCCCTCTCCAGGGCCAGCTTCTCTGTCTCCAGACGCTCCCTGCGCCCCCACTCAGCAGCGTTCTCCACCTGCAGCCGCTCCATCTGAAGGAAACCGACATGAAGCGAGCGATGTGTTATATATTATCATCTCATCCTGGYGGTGAAAACACACTACACAATAAATTGTGATGGAACAAAAAGATTGCGACAGATCTAATGATTAGTCAATCACTGCTYGAGTTTGTTAAATTCCATTAATGTTTTTAGTATTTAATTTTTTCACATTTACACGTTCTGTAATTTGTTCAGCACTTGGTTGTTTGTTTATAAAAGTGCTCAAACTGTAAATAAACTCGACATCACTAGACGACCTTCCACACTCTGCTCTCCCGCCTCCTCACCTCGGCTCGTAGCTCCGCAAGTTTCTTGTCCATGCTGCTCCGAGCTCCCAGTTCATCCTCCAAGTCCTCGGACATGCGACCGAGCTCGTCCTGATGCATTTCCTTCAGCAGATTCAGCTGAAGAAAATACACACAAAACGTAAGAGGACTAGATTTTTTTAGGATGAACATCAGAAAAATGACAGTGATCTAAGATTCTACCAGCAGAGAAAGCAAATTTCAAACTCTTTCATTGGGAAATGCTAATATTTTATCTTTGTTTTATTCTTCAGCGTTTATTTGTTAGAAAAAAAACTTATAACATCTTGACAACTGGTGCTGTTTATGAATTTAAAGAATAAAACATCCCTTCATCTTTTAAAAATGAACCTTTATGAGCTCAAACGTCTCCGATGCTCAAAGTAAAGATACAAGAGTGTAGATAAGGATGACCTGATCTCCTCTCTTTTTGTCCCTCCTAATTCCTATCTCATTATTGCATCTCTGCTTTCATTCACCCTTCACCTTAACCTTCGAACGTCTTTCTTCTATCTGCTTATCTTCGGCATAACCATCCCAGCAATCTACCCATCTTTCAGGCGCTCTGAACACATCTGTTTTTCTCTCCCCTCCAACCTGCTGGGTCAATAAAGCTTCTGTGTTTTTGTAAGGCACATGTTCAATGTTTGCTTCTTTTCCTCGCCGCTCTCTGTTGGTTTGGACTGCCACCAAGTGGTGAAAAACAGGCAAAACCTCAACGGTGTGTCACACTGATCCATAAATATAGTTTTGGATTAAAAAGAAATTTAGAAGGCTATAATATCTTAATGATTCATTTTACATTTATTTTTATGTCTCTCTCTGTAGTATTGTCCTCAAGTTTATCAGTCATTGCTAAATGATGTACTAAAAATAAATGAGAAGATCATTTATTGGAACATTTAATAATAGTAGCAGGGTTTTATTTTGTGCAGTTCATTCATATTTTGGCTTTTTAAATACATTTGAAAATATCATTTACATTAGATTTTTTCACATTATTATATAAACTTCTAAACAGCARCTTTTTTAGTAGTGCTGCTTTGCATCAAGAGGGTCATGGCTGGGGTCTTTCTGTTTCCTCTATGTTCTTCCCACAGACCAACAGACCAACAACATGAATGTTAGATTAATTAGATACTCTTAATAGTCTCTCGCCCAAAAACCACTGGAGATAGGCACCAGCTCCCCATGATCTTGAACGAGAACAAGTGGGTGAAGAATTWGGACGATGAGAATGTATGACTTATTTGATGATGGTCCATTGTTGCATCTATAAAAAGATTACTAAGAAGTCTATTTTTCTAAAGTGGCTTTTCATACCTTCTTCCTGATGTAATAAAAACATGTAAAGCCGCAATATGTAATAATGTAATAAAATTTGGCTTCAAAATGTGGCAAACTGCACTAAAATTGCATTTTGTAATAAATGACATAAAATGTAATAAAAGTCTTCAACATATATTGTAATACTTGCAGCTGTACTGTGCATAACCCAAATTATTACATTTTTCGGTGATTGTTACAAAATTTTTAATAACGTAATAAACAAACCAATGTCATTGTTCATCCTAATCAATACACTTGTAATAATAATCATGTTGCAGATACTAATCTTTGAAACTTTGATCAATAAATGTCAAACTTTTCATCATTTAGTTGTTTGTTAATAGCCAGATTCCTCGGTTTTAATCTAAAGGCCATCATGTAAACAGCTTTTTTTAACTGATTGGATTTCAGAAAAATGTTAACCCCTGCTTTAAAAAGCAAACGGAAGTTGGGAAAATGTTTCTGTTAACATTGCATGAAAGAAGCACATGATCTAACAATTTAATGTAAATTGAACATAACCACAAAAATTTCCTCAGAGGAGCAGGGTTTTMTCAGAGTATAGCTAAAMCCATCACCGCACATCGTCCAAACAAATCCAGGCCACATGTGCAGAATGTGCGTGGCTCACAAACACAGCAACGTGGCACAGCGCATCGTAACAGTCAGGTCCTCACCAACACAACACCACAGAGTGTGATGCGCACGGAACAGAAAAACAGTGGATTTGTAGCATGTGAGGCCCAATGCGCATGCACGCACGCACGCACACACACACACACACACACACACACACACACACACACACACACACACTGTCCCGCTTTTGACTGTACTATGAATTTGCCAATGTACTGCTGTCAAAAAAGCCCCGGTTATTATAGAAAAAGACAAAATGCCATCTGTAGTCAATCATGAACACCATCATGAGTTAAAKCAGTTTTGGTCAAGAGGGGATGATTTTATATTTGTTATACTTTTTTAATTTTACCAATTAAAACTATATGAGGTTGCTTCTGTAGTTCCATAAATTAACATTATCACAGTTTCAAAATTGGAAGAATGCTAAATATCGTCATATTTATGCTAATAGTAATGTATGCAATTTGTGACCCAGATGGTCAACTTTTCATACAATCAACATAAACAAACTGCACCATGCATGAAGGTACTTGATGCAGTCAGTAAAGCAGAGGACATGCACTTAAACACTCTGGAGTTGTACCTGTTTGAGGGCTTCCTGTTTGCTCTTACTCAGCTCCTCATATTTAAGTTTCCACTGACTGAGTTCAGCCTCCAGCCTCTCAATGCTTTTACTCAAAGCAAGCTTGTCTCTGAAAGAAACAACAACAAAAATTTTTTTTCAAAATTCTTCCTGGTTTCTTTTCTGCACCACCTGAAGTCTTAGGGGTTGTTTTTCCTACAAAATGAAGATCATTGAGGAATGATAATTATATATGTTTGTATCTGTATTTAATGCTGATTGGTCTTTTTTGTGACTATACAGTATATGTAAACATATCTTAATCAAGCAGAAAATTTTGATGATTTGGTGTTGTCATGCAGTTCTATCTGCAGAAATACAATCTGTGCAACAAACTATGTCWCTGAATTCATAAAGCCTGACCTCTCTACTGAGAACAGTTTGCCATGGGAGGTGAATGCCGCAGAAAACAGACCCCCAGGATCACTGGTTTAACCAAACTCTTCCAGTTTAAGGTGGCAATTTTGTGTAAGAGCAATGTGACCTTTGTTCAGCTCATAACCCAAATAGACTGATATTTACCCTTGTAGAGTTGCAAAGGGGGTCATAAGAGTCAAGTGTTTTGTGGCTTTGAGGWAGGCTTATGAACATGTTTTCCAGGTCATYATSTAGAGATGCTGTGAGAGTATGAGGTGCTGGGGTTGCTTCTTAGGGCTATAGCTGTGTATGTACCATCACCTATAGTCCTGAGATGCTGAACAAGAAACAAGCTCCTCGATATGAGCAGCTGAGATGAGCTGCCTTTGTGGGGTGGCTAGGGTCAGCKTAAGAGATAAGATGAGTAGTTCTGTCTTTTGGGGCAGCTTGGAATAGAACTGGTACTCCTCTGTATTGAGGAGTCAGCTGAGKTGGTTCAGCACCTGATTAGGGAGTCTCCCTCTGGAGGGATATCCCATTGGGAGGACACTTTAGGACAAACTCAGAAATATCAAAAGGGATTGTGCACCTTCCCTGGGATGGGAACACTTTGAAATCCCCGAGGGGGAGCTAGAGATTGTTACTGGGGACAAGGAATGCCTGAGTTTCCCTAGTGAACTTGCTGCATCTCCAACGTCACCACTTCACTGATTTGCAGGACAGTAGATGTGGAAATACAGGAGTTAGACAATGAAACTGAAACACCTGGTTTTAGACCATAACATCCCTTTCAGACAGCTCCCTCTTGCGCCCACAGTTAATCCTGTTGGATGTGGTTTATCCTTCTTGGTGATATGCTGACATTACCCTGGATACCGTGGCTCTTGATACATCACAAAGACTTGCTGTCTTGGTCACAGATGMACCAGCAAGATGTGCACCAACAATTTGTTCTCTTTTGAACTCTGGTATGTCACCAACAACGTTGTGTGCATTTGCAATATTTTGAGCAAAACTGTGCTCTTACCCTGCTAATTGAACCTTCACACTCTGCCCTTACTGGTGCAATGTGCAGTTAATGAAGACTGTTCCACTTGAGCCATGAAACCTCCCACACTAAAATGGCAGGTGTTTCAGTTTCATTGTCCAACCCCGTAATCAAATATGTTGTTGAAGAAATTTATTTGGGTTGTTTACTACTGACTTTTAAAGACACTACACATTGTACAGTCTTTTATTAGGTGAACAGGAATATATTTTTATAATGTGTTATCACTGATTTAATTGATGATTTTATGTGCAGACAGGGTTGTGGAACTCTTGACCAGTGTCTCACAGACTCAAGAGGCTTTTAGTTAGATACATGCCTGATTTAAAACAACACATAAGAACCGTGATTATACATCAGGGTGAGGAATAATGTCTGACATTTTGACTCTGTGTAGAGACAGCCAGCCCCTTTAACATATGTCATGAGGCGCAGTCAGGATGCAAAGAGGTTTGTTACTTGATGTGTTTCCGGGATCTCGGCACTGTTTAGCTGATGGCTGTCGGAGGCAGATTAAACTAAAGCTAATCAGTCCACAGCTGTGTCTGGATGGTTTTGTATGGCTCACTCAAACATTCACATGTCATTATTAACTGGTATTAGACCCGAACAGRTAAAGGGTAACGAACATTGCTTATTTTTYAACATTGYTAYACCACATCTMCTAAAACACATTTTAGAAAAGTTTTGAAATGYGCCTCATCTTACTCTCTTTCTTTAAGCAGGACTTTCTGGGACTCGTCGAGCCGCAGCTGCAGAGCATTCAGCTTGCTTGAATCCTCCTCAACTGTGGTCACCTCCTCCCACAGATGCCTGCTGCGTTCCTGCCGGCTCAGCCCAGAGGATGAGCGTGACCCTGCAGGGTTACTGCCAGGACCATCCCAGGTCTCTTGAGCGTCGTGCCCACCTGCTCCTGAACGCAAAACCGATTCCAGCAGTTCCAGGTCCTGACAGAGCAGCGAGAGAAAAGTTAGGTAGTAGAAAATAAAACCAGACTTTTGTTCTGAAACCATTCAGGTTGCTCCAACTCTATTTCTGAAGCCCTGATATTACGTAACAAAAACCCCACTACAAATTAAAAACTTAGTTTGAATAAAGAAGAAAGCCAGGGTGGAGACAATTTATTTATATTTGCCTACAAAGAGAAGTCGTAACATTTTGTTTATTGAAAGTTCAGTTGTGCTGAATAAAAACAGAGTGCCCATGTTCCTGCTGTAGTTACAGGTAACAACCAACAGATGGACTCTGTTGCTGAAACAAACCACATTACTGTTGCACATGTGGAAGTACTCTGCACATATGTGAGAACCAGAACAATAGAGGGGGCGCAGGAAATGAGGCTGGGCTGCATTAGAGCAAGATCTAAGCATGGCTTCAGGACCACCTCCGGTGCATTTTACAGACAAACACATATTTACGGTTTGGTCAGAACTCAAAAACTCACGTCTCTTTCTTTGTGTAATAAGGAAACTATAAAAGCCTGCTCCAGTGAGCTGGAAGTCTGCAGGACTGATGGTAAATGACTGCGATGTTTAGTCAGGGCAGTTTAAACGCAAAAAAACCCCAACAAAACAAAACAAAACAAAAAAACATTCATTTTGAGGATACCACATRGTGTGTGCCTATTATGTGTATCTGTTTGCATTGGACCAGGAAACAGCTGCTAAGAGCACATATTTGATCAGCAGCAAGACAAAGAGGTAAACGAAGAAGACAAACTTTTAGAGAATATTAATATTTCTCTGTGTACAAGAGGTATCATGCTTTGGAACTCTCACAACACTAATAATACCACTGTGACACGCTCAGTAAACAGTTTAACACAGTGGGTCATTTGTGCTGCACAGGATTGTTTTCCCTCATTAAAATCTCACGTTCATCGTTTATAAACTAAAAACACCTGCTCAGTTAAAGATAGTGCATCAGCTGTTCAGAATTAGTCTGGAGCTGAACACGAGACACATTTAAGCAGCTGTAACATTATTTTATGAGGTTTGGCCATGTCCAGCGTGATACGACTCTTCAGAATGATTGTCTGCACGAGCTCTAAAGGATTAAAGGAACAAGGGAACAGTAGTAAAGGAAGAACTGAATCTTTTGGCTCTTCCCGGGATACTTTAGCGATGCACAAAAAGAGGGACAGCAGATGGTAAGAGTAATTCATAAATTATTAACAGAGGGTAAAGTGTTCAGTTCAGGGGTGGACAATCCTGGTCCTCGAGGGCCACTATCCTGCATGCTTTAGAGGGTTTTCTGCTCCGACACACCTGATTTGAATGAACGGGTGATTACCAAGCTCAGGCAGAACTYAAGAAGGGAATTCAATCACTGAATCAAATGTGCTGAATCAGAGGAACAAGTAAAACCTGCATGAACTAAACCAGGACTGCCTACTCCTGGTTTAGTTAATCTGTAAGGTTAATAAAAGCAAATTTTATTTGTTTAACTTGCACTTTTTCAATAACCCTTAAGATATGGCCTCTCAGAACATTTATGAAGACTGCTGATTTCTGKTGACAGTGTAGCTCGTAAATTAGGCCTGATAAATCAACTGGTTGTTTTAAAGCCAGACGTTCAGTAAGCTGACTTCCAAAAGTTCTAGTCTGATTTAAGTTTAGAATAAGAGAAATAAATGTTTAATAAAGAAATATCCTTGGCAGAGTATATTTGAAGGCAGCTAAAGTGAAAATATGACCTGTTATAGTACCTAATACCATCATGTCATACAAGCATGGAATCTATACATACCATRTGCATGTAGGGAGCAGGAGGGAGCAGCTGTTTAGTTGTTTTATTTGGAACAGAACAGGCTGACATGTAAAAAACAATACTGCAGCATCAGCTGGATCACACTGTCCTCATGGATACGCAAGTATGTTGAGTGTATGTGCACCTGAGCACACAGCAAGGGGCTAACAAGAACATCACACACACACACACACACACACACACACACACACACACACAC